ATTTTCGTGGGAACGAATGTCTCCTCCGTTTTCCAGGGCTGCACAGAAAAACAATAAGTGTCAGATCAACTCGCCTATGCTCAAATTAACGAGTTTATTATTCCGTGTACGCGCAACGTTCTGCAATCTTCTTGGAAGCTAATGAAATTTAACAAAATACATCATGATTTTCGAATTTTTTATTCGTTCACTTTAAATCCAGTTGTGCTAAAAAAAATTGAAAGGTGACATAATTTTGGCCGGTACTGTTTATCATGTTGTAAATACTGCAACTATTTCTTATTGTTTTCTTATTGTTAAGGTTAGGTTGAACCTTATAAAAAATGCCATTGTCTCAGGTTGTCTATATGAAATAAAAGAAACCACTGGAGAAGCAAAGTTCTCTAAAGAAAGGAATAAACAATTTCCTTCTAGATGAGAAAAACACATATTTCAAGGTTGGTGGTAGCGACGAACTTGCTCTGATCTTACTGAAATTTTATCCTCAATTTTTTTTTATTTTAAGTATGCACTGTGTCGGAGGGAAAAGTAGTACAGGACTTTTTTTACTTGATTTGATCTCAGAAATATGCTGTTGCAATAGTGCTCCAATTATTGATAATTTTTGTTTATGTAAATTTTGTGCATGTTACGATACACAAAAATTATAGATAAATTATAGTGAGATTGTGGTAACTGCAACCATTGTTTCTATCAGCGTGACGAACCTTTTGCACCGAATGCAAAAATCATACAAAATAAAGATACATAAAAAGGAACTAATCTCGCGAGTTTATCTGCTGATTCGATTCGAGATCTAGTGTTACGGCATTCTCGTCGAGCAACAATGAGCTTTCGTCGGAAGCTGTCACGACGAGTGCCGCAAGAGATGCCCATCATCGTACACCCGGCGTACGGCGGAACGTAAGAAACGGTGCTCGCGGTTGCTTAGTTAAGTTGCGACGCGAGTATGTACTCGCGGTGTTGCGTTAACGCGACAATCAGAGTGAACGAAAGGAAAGGAAAGGTTCTCTCGGCCGAAACCTCAATTCTCACGGCCCAATTTTTTTGTCCGCCGCTTGTACGCAATTTGCACGCGAAGGCCCGGCCCACCTTGGGGCGTTTCGACGGATTCGTGAATCCGAAATTCACTTAATGACAAGTAAAAGGGATCGTGACCGAGCCAATTTACTTTCCTCCTTTTCTCGTTGTTATAAAATTCCGGGCGCGCGAAATGCGGCCGCGGCCGACAGGCTTCCGCCTCGCGCGCGGCTGCAGACGAGGACACATCTCGGCGAGCGAGATCTATGCAGCGTTTCTTTTTTTTCCAGACGGCACTCAGCCACTCACGTCGTACATTTATTAAGTCGTGTTTTTTACGCTTGTGTTCCGAAGTTGTTGCTGCTTAATAATTGATATTACGTGGTATCGCGAATAATTGGCATTATATAATACGATGACGGTGTATTTGTAACGAAACGACTGGTAGGCGTGCATACTGTTTTACATGCTAATTTTCAATGTCAGTCCGCTGGAGGTATCCAGCGCCGCGCGCTCGCGCGCTCCTCCTGAAAACCGGCCGCCGTCTCGAGAAGATGAGTTCCGTTCGATTTCGCCCGTTATCAATTCTCCGTTTTCTGACATACCCCGAGCGACACGGGGGGAGGGAGGGGGGGAAAAGGAGACCGGATCTGTTGGACTGCGATCGCGCAGAAAACGTACGGAGCGTAGCTCGCAGTCGAGCGTGCCGAATGCGCACGGGACGCGAGCGGAACGGGGGAGGGGTTAAGGGGATAGATAAAAATCCGATCCGGCGGGCACGGTAATGGACGGAGCTCGTTCGAGAGAGAGCGGTAAACGACGCGTTTTCCGGCGGTTGCTTCTTGTTTTCAACGGGCACTCCCGGACGAATCACGCGCCTGCGGATTCCCTCACGTAACAAGCGTATACGCCCGGTTCTTCTTAATTACCGCCTCGTGTGTCGATTATCTCCGGGCCCGATCCCTCAATCCGTATCGCCGTAATTCGCGTATACCGGGTAACGGTAACGGCTCCGCCTGAAAAGTAAACGGCTTCGCCTCGGCTCTTCCTCCCCCTCTCGCGCGCCGTTCCAATTAAACTCCTTGAATTTGCCGCTTCCGCGGCAATCATAAGGCGATCGTAATCTCGCAATTAGCGGCCAACGATCGTGCGAGTGTATCGGACGTACATCGCGAGTCCGGGAGGCCGTGAAAAAAAAAAAAAAACGGGAAAGTCGAAGAAATGAAAAATGCGGTAGGCGCGCGAAGGCTCGCGAGAAACTCTCTCGGAATTTCGAGCGGACGGAAGCGAGAAAGGGGGCGCGTCGTTTAATTAGCGAGATTTATTTATCGCGCGATCGCTGAATTAAAAGCACCGTCGGCGAGATGGGTGAGGAGAAAGAGGAGCGACTTGGATTCCGAGGCGGTTTACAAAAGCCGTTGTCGACGGCGACCCGAGGCGGTTCTCCGTTACTGCATCGGCTTGATGGAGTAACCTTCGCCTGCCTCCTCGCCTGTTCTAAGTGGCGCGACACATATAACGGTTGGTACACGGGGGAAACGGGACAGCTGTGCAGAAGTGTGTGCTCGGGAGGTGTTTCTTTCGAAATACCGGCTGGTACGTGCGTCATTCTCTATGCCGGCCGGCGTTCTATGTTTCACTTTCGACTCTCGGTGTACCGCTCCGCGAGTGGAACGCCTGGCTCTCAGCCGGCGACGGCGGCGGCGGCGGCCTTGGCTCCGCGTCGTCGTTTCCGCGCCCCCTCCCTGGCGTTTTTGTCCTTCGTACAACGTAGACTCGAGAGGGCCTGCGCCGCCTTCCTCGGGAGGGCCCGCTACTTCGAGCACAGTGTAACTCGTAGGTCCACTCTCCGTCGGCCCCTTCGCGGCCCCGATCACATAGTGTTCCGCCATGTCGTTGGTGTCCAAATCCAGCAGCGTATGTGTGTGTCACTGGTAAAATGTGTGGTCAAATTTTCAAAAACTCCCATAAAGCTCTTGCCACGTTGTCCTACAATTACATAATTTTCGGGATAAATTTTGAGAGAAAATTCGCTCCGTGTACACACACATTCGCTGCTGGATTTGAACCAAAGACATGGCGGCATACCACGTGATCGGGACCGCAAAGATCAAAGGGACCGACAGAGAGTGGACCTACCAGTTATATGTACTGTGCTTTTAGCAGCGGCAGCGCGCGACAGTCATCTCGAAAGCAACGCGCCGCCTTCGAGAGGAAAGATGCACGATTCTTGTGGAAAAATAGCAAAAGTTTAATTGTACGACGTCCCCGATGACTTTGTTACAAGCTTTGCGTCGAGTTGGACGGAAAAAGTTGCCGTTAAAAACGTTCACTTAAACAACCGATACGATCCTTTCTATTCTTGCTGGCCCTTTTATCTATTGTTATATCAGTGTATCGCGATAACTTGAGAGGAAAGGATGTATTATCTTTCAGTATCGCCAAATCTTTTCTCGCGCGACGTTAGCCGCAAATGTCATTGGAACGAGAGGGCAGTTTTCACTTCCCATCTCTTCTGATGAATTTCTTTAGTCCCGGATAGACACGTCGAAATCGAGAAAAACTATCGCCAACTTAGAAAGTATCGCAGCTAACGCCGAATGAATAGTCGATATGTCGAATAAAATGTCGAGTAAGCGACATTTTTTTTTAATACAAACTATAAAAAAACCTTCGTTATGGTTTCTTTACCTTTTTTTATAATGAAAAGTATAGAGAAGATCATTTGATATGCACATCAAGTAGAAAGTTGTAGCAAATCAGCCAATAGGTCTATTCGTTTTCGCAGTACCAATGCCGCGAGGTTCTCTTTTAGCGTAGATAGGTGCAGACGAGTGGCACGTTTATAGGTCGCAACGAGATAAACAGGGACGTCAAACACAGCCAATCGCATAAACGCATCTCTAACCGCTTCACGATTGGACGATTTCCTTATGTCTGTGCAAATATGCAAGTTTCTCTGCATAATTAAACTTACCGAGCGGTTTACAAAAATACTCATTTTTACCCAAGTTGTTGAAAAGCATACGCTCGATACCGCATAGCGTGGGTTTTTAATTCGATTTTCGTATCGAGGTTGAAAAAAAAGCATCGAATAATCGATAACATCGAATGCCGATAAACATCTCTAGTCCCGGGACAGATCGTGACGCATTGTGCGCTTTGTATCTCTCGTTGATTTACGCCGGGCACACATCTCACCTGGTCACTTCGCCCGGTCGGAGAAAGCACTTGTAATCGTAGAGGAAACGACGGCGACCCGTGCGGGCGTCTATATACAAACGGTACATACTCCACGTGTAGTACTTACGCGGAAATCTATAGTCTTTCCCGGAAAAGTGACTATATCGGCTTATAGGTTCTCTGCCACCGGGTATTACCGTACCGTACGACAACGGCGATCTCGCTCCGGGGCTCCGAAGTGAAACGGCGAGACGGCGAACGTATCATTTTCTGCGGTTTCAGGAAAAACGTAATTCCAGAAACGCCGCGCGTAACTCCGGCGTCGATTATCCTTCCGCGCTGTTATTCGACGAGGGCTCTTAAGGAAATTACTTTGGGCCCGTTTTGCCACAGTGTACTCTGTCGTAAGATCTGCCGTTTAAAGGCGTTGCCGTCTCCGGCCCGTGATCGACGTTGCGGACGCGCGCCGTCTCTCTTCGTGGAACCGCGGGAATGCCTAAAATTAATTGCTTCCACTGAAAAAGCGATTATCGAGAATCGAGAGGCGGCTATCCGTTTTCAGAACACACGTGTTTCGCGGAAGAGGGCCGGAATATCCTCCCTTCCCCTCCTCCTCCCCCCCCCCTCGGTTAATCGAGATAAAATCGAGGAAACTCTTTAATTCGCCGTCGCGAAAATGGATCGTGTTTGAAGTAGGGTAATAGTGAGTTTAATTTGAGCGACGTGCGGCGTGCAGATGTACGCGCGTGTACGCTATAACGTAGCGGGACTATAGCATGTGGTAATGTATATTTCAGATCCAGGAAACGACGGCCAAGCTCGAACAATGATTCCGAACGGACGTACAGCGGTTGGGGTGAGAGGGTGGTCTGCGGACGTGAGGGTTGTCGCACCAACGAACGCGGTGATTGCATGGACGAATGCGCTGCCGCCCTGGTCCTTATGTCGCTCTCGTGCTCACCTCACAGTCCTCACAACCCCCCGCCACTTCACTGCCAACACGCTTACGGTACGGCGCTCCTTTTTTTTTTATGACATTCGCGCAAAGTACGGCGTAAGCTGTTGAAAGCAGACGTAGAATAAATTCCTCTCTTCAATTGTAATCTTTGAGAATCGTTATACGTAGCTCTTCTTGCTTGTAACCAAAATTCCTTACACGTCGAACTGTTTGTTTCGCGAGCAATCAGGTTTTAAAAAGTGATAAAAGCAACTCTTTAAAAATCAATCAGCGCATTGTCACTGGAAACAGTTATAATTGTACATATATATGAATTATTCAGTGCTTTACGTATAACTGCGAATCGATAAATAATTGTCCATCATTTGTTCGTACCGCGTTAATCTCTCGTGCGAACGAGAGAGAAAGAGAGTATCGAAGCATATTCACCGCGAGCTTCCGCGATAATCGGACGGACCGAGATGAACTTGGCGGTGAGCATTCGATCTGCGATCAGGTTCCTGGGGGAGAAGTGGAGGCGGAGGCGGCGGCATAATCGCCGGCTCACCGGGAGTCGGCGGTATGTCAAACAGCAGCAGCAGCAGCGGGGCTTCCTGGCGAAGCGGCACTCCCAGCCCACCCCTCAGCGAGGAGGGCATACCGACGAGAAGTTCCCCGTGCCCGGCGACCTCGCATCCCTCGCACAATCAGCCGCACTACCCCTACAACGCGTCCGGCTCGTCGTCGAGCAGCACCCCAGGCTCGACCACGTTGGACGAGGGAATAGTGCCCGACTATATCGAGGAGCAGCACCCGCGTAAGAAGGTGAGTAACCTTTTCTGACGCTCGTTCGCTTCCTCCCTCGACGTGGCGCGACGACGTCGATAATTCGCATTGTCGCCCGACGAGTTCGCTTACCGAGTGCGCTAATCGGTCGCCGGGGGCGAGGAGATTTCTGGAATCTCCTCGTCTTACGGCCGATTAGCACGTCGCTACGAGAAGCTTATTTACCTTGCGACCGCCGTAAAGCATCAGCGACTTCCGCCGCCTCTTTAACCGTGACCTTTGAAACTAGTTTTCAGAGTCGCGTGTTCGCGCTACTTCTAGCAACGAGCTGCCCTCGCCCGCCGTCTTTGAAAGTCTTCATTGACCTTAATCTTCGTGAATAATGTACCCTCTCGCGTCAACGCGCGCCCAATTCAGCTTGCCAGGTCTCCAGACGGAGACAAATGATTTTTGCGAAAATCAATTTCGCCAGACGTCGCGAACGTCGCTCGCGCTTCCGCGAGCCGCGTCGGGGAACTTTCGTCGCGCGATCCAATTACCCGCCGGTTTATTATTCGAACGTTTCGTCGATCCGAGTCGTATCGCGACTATTTAACACCACGCCGATCTGCTCGTTGGTTTTCTACGAGCGCGTGCCGTAACGGTGAGATATGATAAAAATCTCGTTCTTCGCGCCTTCGCATCAGCGACATAAAGTACGACTTCCTTGAGGCTTACGTTAAAATCACACACCCAAGCGACCTCCGTGATGGGAATACAAGTTCGCCGTGATAAAAAAACGAATGGCCTTCGAGTAGCCGCGTCTCTGTGATTAATTCTTTTCGTGTCCGCGTAGTAGAACGTAGTGGCTTAATTAACGCCAACGCGTGCGCGCGCGCGCAAATATGATAAGTCTATTGCGTAAGTCTTTGGGGCGTGGGGTACCAGGGTAAGCCTTGCACGTTTGAACGCGTACGTATATCGTTCTCGATCTGGCTTAGATCTCTGACTCGTTGCCCGGGGTTCTCTCTCGTATTTCTTACGCGCGGGATTGAAAACCGACAATTGTAATTTCGGCCCGAGTTTAAAGACGATTTGCAGATTAGATTTACATACGAATATAACTTGCCGCGACTGTCGTATTATTGTGAACGTTACGGCAATAGAGAATTTGTAACGGAGACTGTTTCCGCCAATGTTTATTGTCATCACGATTTTACAGATTTCAAATTCTGTGACAAAAATATCCTGGTCTATCTAATCGGATAATCAAACGGATATAGTCAATTAAATTGTATATTCGATGAAGAATATAATCGATTTTCCGATTAAATTTCATCCGTAACTGCAATTTTTTATTGGGTAAATTTCATTGAATATATATCCATAATTTTGTCGGGAAACTTAATCAGAAAAACCGACGGTTAATTTTTCATCGGCAACACTACTTGATCGATTTATACAATGAAAATTTTTCTCTGTGTACCAAATGCGAATCTCGACTTTTTAAAATACTCTTTTTATATCGTTCGTAGCATTATTTTCGAGACTGGTTTGACGTTATTTACAAGGCGAGTACCTTATATGGAAACGTAATAAAAGAATAAGGTTTTGGACTGATCGATGTAACGAACTCGACAGATTTAATCGACATTGACGAATAACGGGCGCTGTTTTCGGGACGACGGCGAACTAGTTTTCTCTTTTCGAGTGGACGAGCCAGTGAAAACGAAGTCGCTTTCGATACGCGTTTCGTAACACGTCGATTTTCATGGAACGTACTGCAGAAGAGAACGAGCGAGCAAGAAAACGGGACGACACGCATAACTTGACGTCTTTGCGATCAAGTCCGGCTTTCATTTAAAGAGCATTGATGTAAACGACTGCGATCTTTAAAGATCCCTAGCTCAAAGTAGAATTTAATTTTGAGTTGCATCTCTATTGACAAAGTTATCTTTATATTTCGCGATCAATTTCAATTACTGTTAAATTCCGTAATTATTTTGAATATGCATTTTCCGATATTGTTTATTCTCAAAAGTTTTATTTAAAGAGCATTAATGTAAACGTCTGCAATCTTTAAAGATTCCTAGCTGGAATTTAACTTTAAATTGCATCTCTATTGAAAAAGTTGTTATTTTTATATTTTGCGATTAATTTCAATTACTGTTAAATTCCGTAATTATTTTGAATATGCATTTTCCGATATTGTTTATTCTCAAAAGTTTTATTTGAAGAGCATTAATGTAAACGTCTGCGATCTTTAAAGATCCATAGTTTGAAATGGAATTTAATTTTGAGTTGCATCTCTATTGAAAAAGTTATCTTTACATTTTGCGATTACTTTCACTTAATGTTAAATTCCATAATTATATTGAATATGCATTTTTCCATATTGTTTATTCACAAAATTGCCAACTATTGTCCAAAATAGCCGTATCGTTTGAGGTAGCCTATTTGAGCTAAATGCTTTTAGATCTTGAGACGAATGAAACTGAAAACAACATCGTTGTGCAATGTAAAATGTTCCTGGAAATCGATGCGAGAGAGAACATCGGGGCTTCGATTGTCTCGTGGATTTGAACCGCGCCAGTTGTTGCGCGTTGGCAGTGACGGCGCAGCGTCCCTGACCGGTCAGAGATGCAGGCGAAAGAGGCCGCCTGCCGAGGCGGCCGGAGTCATCCTCGTCGTCGTCGTCGTCGTCGTCGTCGTCGTCGACGTCGCGCGTGCCAAGCCCGCGCGCATGATGATGACATAAGCGCGCCGGCCGAGCCAAGGATGTAAACACGCGCGCGGCGATTTTTTGGTATTTCGTAAGACGACTAACAAGCCGGACCTTGAGGTATTATCGCCCCGCGCTAATCTTAGGTACGCGGCGGCGGTGGGCCCGCGCGCTTTTGCTGCTTTCGGCCGCTTGCACGGGAAACACACGCGGCTCTCCGCGCGACGACGGCGAATGGCGGTCGGCGGCGTTCCGCTCCCGAAATAGCCGCTAAGATGAGCGCGGCCCCTTAACTAACCGGCCGAACTCGCTAAAACCTGCCTCTCTGCTTTATGGCTTTTTCAGATTCGAGCGAAAGTCAACCAGGACCCGATTGAGACGGAGCCAGGCGCTTGCGCGACTTTCGAAAGCGAGCAGGTAAGCCCGATTTCCGTTCTCCGCGTAATTGGACACTCGCTCGCCGGAGATCTCGCAGGTGCGAAATTGCAACCGGAGCGACTCCCTTTTAACCCTAGCAGTGTCGGATTATTTCCCCGCGAATATCAGATGGAGGCGGGCGGCTACTTTGCGCGGTGTCAGTCACATTTCTTTCGCTCTTCCGTAAAAGATGCAAGTTGATTGGCTGCACACTTCTCGGAACTCCAGAACTTTGACACAGTTCTTGGATCGTGGACGCGAGGCTTTACAGTTTTTCAACTGTCGTAAGTTGGTAAAAATCGATTTGTCTTTTTATTTCAATAATACGTAAATAAACGCAAAGTATACCTCCCGCTTCCTAACGACTCCCCGATTGGTTCCCCTTACGTATCATTTTTCCTTTGGCGTGCAGACCACTTTTGGCATTAAAATCGAGAGCACTACATCGCGGCGGGGAGCATCCGGCGGATATGCAATTTGCATTCGCGATACCTCGTTGCTGCCGCGTATACGTTATCTGAAATCGTAACGCCGGGCGGAGATAAGTAATCTCGGGTGGCCATCGCGGCAGCGGTTATTTTTTCCTCCAAATTATCTCGGGAGAGTAGCGCGACCCATCGATATCTGAGGCGCGGGGCAAATCTCCGGTTCCGAGAGGGGAAGCGTCCGCGATCGACGCGGGTTGCGATTCACGGGGGTTGCCTCGTTACCGAGAAGCGCAGAATCGCCGGCGGAGCAAGCGGCGGGCCTCCGCGTGCAAACGCGGCTCGAACCTACCACTATCGCCGCCACCGCCACCGGCACCGGCACCACCGCCATCGCCATCACTACCACCACCGCAGCCACCTCCACCTTCTCTCCACCTCCTCACGGATCAATATTATTCGTAACCCAGTTTACACCGAAGGTTCCTACTTTCACCGGTGCTCGCGGACGGCGATCGCTTAAAGTCATTCATCTCGATTCAAATCGGCGTCGATGATGTCGTCACAGGCGAAAATACGCGGCGTCATCCGCTGGACGCTGGACGACGATCGGGCCCGCCGGTGTAATTTCACGAGGCCCGATACGCGCGATTTCGACTTTCACTCGCGAGTATCCGCGTAACCTGGACCGACCGGATTTCCACGGGCGCGTTCTTTTCCCCCGAATATCGTCCTCGGGCGGTTCTCTCCCGTTGTCTTTTCTCGCGCGTTTCCTCGCTTCGTCTCGCGTCTACGCGATGCACGATTAAAGAGTCAGAGACGCGACGCGCTCGTCGCCTTGTTAAAATTTCAAAGTTCCAAGCGGTGCACCGCCGCTTATTTCGCGCCGATGCTTATTTCATCGGTACGTTCAGCGAATAGAATATTCGGGGGCACTTCCGACGGGGGAGATCGGAAATGTGCGCGCAGACGTTTCGGCCGGTTTTCGAAAACTGGGGAACGTCCCAGTTTCCTTCTACCCCGTTGTCCCCGGTCACACCCGGGAGAAAGATGGCCACCCTACCTGCGATCTCGCGCGTATCGGCGCACCTGACCCAATTGACCGGCTGGCTGATATCTCGACGAGCACGGCGACCCAAGGTCGTCGGCGTCGTTCCCTAGATTCTCTCATCGCCTAGCGCTCGTCATCGCGAGAAAGGTCACTCGATCGAGATAGGAGAGAGAGATGATGCCACCGTTCCCATATCGCGGCATCCATGAACGGCGATATCGACAGGCGGGGGGAGAGAGAGAGAGAGATAGAGGGGGGGGGGAAGAGAAAAAGAGAGAAGGAATCAAAGGGAGGGACGGTCAGGAAGTTCCAGGCGAGTATCGCATTGTGCAACGAGTGCGACAGAGTACTACGCTTCCTCCTCGCCCTCCTCCGCCCGCGTGTGCGACGCGCGCGCGCACGCGTGCACATACGCGCATCCACGTGCGCAGTGCCGTAGTCGAGCGTATCGACGGGAGTGTATCGAGTGCATTTTATGCCGCCGGAGATTTCCTTTGTCTCCGTCACGTGCCTACGGCCGTAACGCCTCGATCGAACGTCACAGGCATGAGATCACGATCGCTCGGCAAAAATCGCCGACGGACACGGCGGGTTTCAGGGAAAACGAGCGAGCGCGCCGCGCTCAAAAGGACCGGGGGGGGGCGTGTCTTTTATAAACGAGAAATTCGTACGTTAATAAAAAACAAATTACGTAAATAAAAAACAAACTCCATCCCGGCGGAACTCGCGGGGCGGACATTCCTCGCCGGTTCTCATTCGCGCGCATTTTTGTCGGATAAACGCGAAGATTGCAATTGACACGGATTAAGCTCCATCGAAAGGTCATGCACGCGCGCTGCGCGGCACGTGGACCTGGATCTCCGAACCACGTGGGAACTACGTTTCTTTTTACTTTCCGATCCTACGCCGGGACTCGGGTTCCGTCATCGGGGCGACGATGTCTTTGGGAAAACCTATAAATACGCAGCTTGGGTGCCGCTCGGTCAAGGCAGACACGGTTGTCGACAATTTTACCGTATCCCGCTCGACGCCTCTCTCCTAAATTCAGGCTAAGGCAAACGAATGAGAAATGAAGCGGAACGGGGTCTATAGAAACGCGTACGCGCCACCCCGGCGATCGCCCGAGATTGCCCGCTCGTCCGCGTGCGTACGTATCCGGACCCAGGCTGAGCCCTTAAAAAGTGCGGATTGCGGTCGACGTGGGCCAAATTCTATTAAAATGCCGCGCACGCGCCGGAATATCCCTCCGTCCGTCGCGGCGTACGCCTGCACATGGATCTCTATCTCGGAGCAGGCAACGCGAGGACCCGGCGGTGCCGTTGGTGCATCGCGTCGCAGTGCACACCACGTGACGTCACCACGAGCGGCACGTGCCCCGTCCCCTGCCCGCGCCCCCCGGTGCCCTCGAATGCGGCATCGCTCGGCGGCTGCGGGGGCGGCGCGGGGCAGGACGGGGGGCCAACAACGAGAGGGGGAGGTAGAGGTGCGGAGGAAGGTAGTTAAGGTCACCGTGGCCCTGACTGCACGCGCGCGAAATAATATCGGTGTACTACCGTACGTGTGTCTGTGTGTGTGTGTGTGCGCGCGCGTGTGTGCGTGTGTGGGCGTGTGCTGGGCGAATGTGTGACGTGCGTGTGCACGCGCGCTCGCGTTCGCGCACGTGTACATTTGTGTGGCGGACTGTGGTGTGCAGCGCGCGCGCGTGCGCGCGCGGAGAACGCACGGAAGATTTATTTCTAGTTCCGCGTGCTGCCGCGTTTCTAACCAAGGTTTTGCCGGCTAGATGCACGAGTCGCACGAGTGTCCCAATGACGGACCTTGACCGTCGACTCCGATGTTCGGCGCGGTCGTCATACCGTCTGGTGATCGCCGCCGATCCTCCTCGCGATTACCGCGACCAACTTTTCCGATTATCGCTCGCAATACGCGGCGGTGGCGGCGGCTCCCCGGCCGCTCGACACTATTACGACACGCGACGTATCTTTCCGTGACGATGCCATTATTTCAGCTCGAAATGAGCCCCTGCGGAATTTAAAGAAGGGGACTCGGCGGCAGTAGCGCTCGCTGGTATAATCCCAGGCTTGATCGAGGGACTTGGACGTGAGCGACGAGTCCGCAGATCCGCCTGTGAATGTTAGACGGAGAAAATCCTAGACGTTTAAACGTTTTATCAAGCGTGTAATTTTGTTTCTTTTAAGACGCACACAGTAAAAGTGTTGTTACTGCTCCGTGGCTCTAGCGACAATATATTTTTTGTTGTCCGGACGGAGAGCGAGCAGATCCAACTTGTGCTCCGTCGAGGTCGAAATTGAGAGAACGAGAAGGAAAATCTTCGGGAAAGCCCCTCTTTCTTTTAAAAGAGGATTCCCGCCTGCTCTCGCCTCTTTCAGGTTTCTCCAAGGAGGGACTCTCTTTTAGATTATTTTTTCGTTCGCTGTCGGCACAGCTGAGAAAGGGCTTTCTGTCTCGACCGCGAGCGTCATTCATAAAAAGATATATAATATATAAAACGATATAAAAAAACTTTAGGTACTTATATGAAAACACGTTCATTCAGAAAGAAAGAAAAAAAAGCGAATTCTCGCTCTCATCTCGAGTCGCGTTTGCACGATCCAAAAGCAATTTTGCAACTTTTGTCGCCTCGTATTACCGTTCATATCGTTTCGACGTTTTCTTCCCTGGCTCGATTTCCTCTCGCGATATTCGCTAGATTCCATAGCGTAAATCATCCGCATATAACGTTCGCGCGTTATCTCCCGGCGGATCGTGCAAACGCGCGGTCGCGGGGTGTGGAAGACCGCTCTGACGCATACGATTTGAACTTGAAAGAGCGTCCGCGCATCGAAACGCGTCGCCGGCATTTGCGTGCGTGCCGCGCTCCCGCGAGTTCCGGGCCGCCGGGTCGTATTCCGACACGTTCGTCCGCCTTACGTAATACGCGTTGCGTAAACCCGACGTTAGCCGTAACGCTCGCCATACATATTTCCGCGCGCCCGGCAACAACCGCGGCCGGCTCGGGAGGGATCTCCGGCCTTACTCGAGCGACGTAATCGTACCCTCCCGTATCGCTTCCGCGCGCTCTCTCTCGCTCGGCCGCTCGCCGTAGAAACCGCACGGGCGCGTTAAAGCTTGTTCCGCAATGGACGCGAGACGCAAGACGCGCTTAAGCCGCAAGAAACGCGAGAAATCGGCCAATGACGGCCGATCGTTCGATCAGATCGTTCTTCTCACGTTTGCCTGTGATTGGTCGATTTCCCGCGTTGCGGCTCACCGTCTTGCGTTTCGCGGCCATTGTGGAATAAGCTTAAACGCAATTAGTGCTTCTCCGCCACCGCGACAATTGAATTTTTATTCTTTCCGCTCCCAGGCGATCGCGTATTTCGCGAGGGTAATTTTGCCGGTGTAGAAGAGGTCAGAGCGCGGAACAATTTAAAATAGTTTACGGCAAAGACGCAAGCGTAAACGTAGATAGCGCACAAGCGTAAATGTATAACGATATAATTAAAGGTAAGTACGACATACGC